CCCCCCGCCAGAAGAATGCATACTGTAGAGAATCGGTTAAAGTTTCATCTAATGGCAATTTCATTATCTTCATGTCCCCATTTATATAATTAAATTGAGAATAAAACCTAGATTAAAACCTAAGTATTTTATATTTAAGTATCAGACATTCAACATGAAATCTTATTCTACTATAAACTGCTGTTCTTCTTTTCTTCTTAATCAAAGAGAAAGATGAAAATATTTACAGAATTTTAGAGTTTCTCGTTTTCTTTTATGTGGAATTCTGTTTTTTAATTAACATAGTAAATGGATTCCATTTATTGTTTGAAATGTAAATTTATTCAAATTTACACCTTCTGGCCAACTTTTCATTCTCCAGATAAATTTATATTCTTATACTTCAAAGTCATCTTCTCATTGAAATTCTAAATTATAATATAAATAACCCTTTAGATGCATTTTCTTCTTTGTGTACAAAAAGTGCAAAAAAAAGTCCTTTTATGAAGTTTTTAAGTTGTAAATTGAATTCCTGAACAATTTAAAGTATTTAAATTGTGAACAAAATCATAAAAAACTATTTTTGAAAATAGGAACAAATAAAATACCAACCAATCTTACTGCTCAAAGATCACATAAAAAATATTTGATTTAATTTTTTTTTGTAATTTAAATTCAAGATATGTGTTAATAAGAAATTATCGCATAGTTAATAAACTTAGAGGAAGCGTCTCTAAAAATTGAAATTGGGTTTTTAAAATAATACAGGATATTTCCGAATTAAATTCGCTTTATCTGTATTAATTTTACTTTCTTCTGATATCTAATTTAAAGGTAAAATCATCAAATAAATTATAAACTTGCAAATCCACGGTAATATTAACCAATAGAATTCTAAAAAAATCTTAACCAATAGATTCCAAATAGAATTCTACAAAATCTTAACCTATAGATTCCAAATAGAATTCTACAAAATCTTAACCTATAGATTCCAAATAGAATTCTACAAAATCCTAACCAATAGATTCCAAATAGAATTCTACAAAATCTTAACCAATAGATTCCAAATAGAATTCTGCAAAATCTTAACCTATAGATTCCAAATAGAATTCTGCAAAATCTTAACCTATAGATTCCAAATAGAATTCTGCAAAATCTTAACCTATAGATTCCAAATAGAATTCTACAAAATCTTAACCAATAGATTCCAAATAGAATTCTACAAAATCTTAACCAATAGATCCAAATAGAATTCTAAAAAATCTTAAACAATAGATTCCAAATAGAATTCTACAAAATCTTAACCAACAGATTCCAAATAGAATTCTGCAAAATCTTAACCTATAGATTCCAAATAGAATTCTACAAGCCTTAAACATGTAAGTCAATTAATCAATTAATCCTGTTGATCTACATTTAAAGAACTTCAAAACTAAGATTAAAAATAAATGCTATATGTCTTTCTTTTAATAATTACAAATTAAATTGTCTTCTTTATTACTAATCCGTGTATATTATGTTTGATATATTGCACAGACATAAATAAGATAATCCATTTTAACATATCTACTTCTTTAAAATATCTCTTTTTTAAAAGTTTGACTGACTGGCTGACTGACTGACTGACTGACTGATTGATTGGTTGATTGATTGATTTTTGAATGATTGATTGATTGACAAGGTAAGAGAGCCTGCAGTTATCCTGGTACTCCTCTACAGGGAGCTGTCTCACCACTCAAGTTCATTTACTCTGTTGGAGAAAAGGTGGGTTCCTGGTTCAGGTTCAAGCTATCTTCATCATTGAACTGCTTAAAAAAAGAATTTTGCAAGCCTATACTAGAAACTAGAGATGTGTATTGTGTGATATTAGGGGGCAAAATGTATCAACATTTTCTTTTGCAAAAGAAGACCTACATTATTGAGAATGCAAAATGAACAAGAAATACGATATTGCTGATCAGTTTACTATATTGTTATTTTTGGTCACTATGATAAAATGAACACCAAAACTGGTTTTCTAACTTCATTAATAAAGATTTAAATAGTAAAAAAAAAGTTCGATCACAAAATGGAACAGCATAAGTTTGATTTGAAAAATATAAGTGCATTGTTCAGTGTGTCCTAATTCACTATTAAACCCCCCCCCTTTTTTCTTTTAGCAGCAAACAAAGGGAAAAAAATTCTGATAAAGGATTTTGTTCAGAAAAAGAAAAACAAGAATTTAAAAAAAGAAAACTTGAAGAAGAACAATATTGACCCCTGATGCTCTAGGGGCTGAAGTTGTATGAGAATAGTTTGAAAACTTCGAGGACTAGTTTCAAAACTATAATCTTCATAATCTTCAAGTTTTCAATATAAATCTTTGATTGTGAAGAATTCACCGGAACTAGGAACTTTCTCACAGAGTTCCTTGGGGGAAATATTTCAAATCATTCTAGAGGTGGAACTATTTTAAATCAATGGGTATAGGGGGAAATATTTTCAATAGTTGGATAAGGGAAAAAAATTCAAATCATTGGCTCGGGGGTGAATATATTCAATCATTGGATGGGTGAATATATTCAATCATTGGATGCGTGAATATATTCAATCATTGGATGGGTGAATATATTCAATCATTGGGTATAGGGGGGAAATATTTTCAATCATTAACTGGGTGAATATATTCAATCATTGGATGGGTGAATATATTCAATCATTGGATGGGTGAATATATTCAATCATTGGGTATAGGGGTGAATATATTCAATCATTGGATGGGTGAATATATTCAATCATTGGGTATAGGGGGGAAATATTTTCAATCATTAACTAGTGAATATATTCAATCATTGGATGGAGGAAATAAATTTAATCATTGAATATATGTTTAATCATTGGATAGGGGAAATATTTCAACCTTTGGATGGGGGAAATTATTTATCTTTGGATGGTAAAAATATATTCAATCATAGGATGGGGAAATATTTTCAATCATTGGATGGGGAAATATTTTCAATTATTGGATGGGGAAATATTTTCAATCATTGGATGGGGAAATATGTTTTATCATTGGATGGGGAAAATGTTTAATCATTGGATAGGGGAAATATTTCAATCATTGGATGGGGAAATATTTTCAATCATTGAATGGGGGAAATATTTTCTATCATTGTATTTGTAATTATTTTAAATTTTTGTCTCGGGGAATTTTAATGAAAATATCTCAATCTAGAAAAAAATAAAAAATTTTGATTATTGACTTAATGGAAATATGTCAATCATTGGATAGCTGGAGAGGATAAAGAACAAACTGTAGCTTGAATTGTTGAGTGGATTAATTCCCTCGGGATTAGAATCGAGAATAGTTTAACTTTACTGGCACAATGCAGTTGAAGTTTCGACAATAGTACCATAAATAAATATCTTAAAATATTATTTATTAATTTAGATTTTCTACTGCTCTCTTTTCAATCGGAAAAAAGAAATCTAGAAAAAGAATTGAGTCTTTGACACATACTTAAACTTTCTAATCCCTATATCTATGCAACCTGATTGTGTAATATTTAGTTTATTTAACAGACAGAATTTGACATATCAAAGGTCTATAACATTAGGTTGCAAAGATAAGGGTTAGAAATCAAAGATTTTGTTGCAAAGACTCAAATATCCTTTGTATACTTATCTAGAAATTCGCAAGATGCTTTTGAAAAGCTGTTGGAATGTTTATAGATTTATAAAGTTTAAGGAGTAAGCAATTAAAAGTTGTAATAATGGATGTATTTGATGGATGTATTTGATTCTAAATATACAATAGCTATATTTTATTTTTAATCCAAAAGTAAAATAATATTGTTTAAAATATTGTTTTGAGCATTTGTGAAGGAATAGTAGTGCTCTCGTATCAGAAAAACTAAATATTTATTATTTTCCTAAAAGTTTTCTATTTCTAGGTTTTAGTCTTGTGTGACAGAGGGTTTACAACACTAGGGGGGAACATGATAGAATGCTTATCTAGGTCTCAACTGTCACCAATTCAAAACAAATATATTTTTCAAAATAGACAATTCAGAATTAAAATTTTATTTTCACAAACCAAGGAAAAAATGTTTCTATAATGTTATCATTCAGAGTTCATTTGAGAATGATGAGTTCAGCTTCAAATATCAACCAGAAAAGGTTGTTCATGCTTTTTGGTTGTAAAAGTATTCGTTATTGGTTTCATTTCCTTACTTTAAGAAAAATCTTACTTTTTGGGACCAAAATAAATACTTATTCTTACATTTTCAACATAAGTTAATTTTCAATAATTTTTATTCTTTGTTTTGATTGAAAACTTGTATTTCTGATTGTTCGAATTTAAAGTTTCAATCCGTTTTTTCTTCAATTTAAACAGAAGATTGACAGAAGATATTGTTTAGTGGAAGGTGGTCAGAAGAACTGCCCCGATGTGAATCATATCTGTAATTTAGAAGATTTCTTCTAATTCTTCCATTATTATTTCATTGACACATTTTTTTTTCAATTTAATTTCAATAATTCCATAATTGTCTAATCATACTTTATTATTTTTCTCTACAAGGAAGTTGCAGTAATGTTACCTAACCAGAGTTCCCAAGACCAATTTTGCCGAGAAAACATCCAGAGCGTAGCAAAATTGGTCGAGGGAATCTGTGGACGTGGTTAAGTAAAATTTTTAATTTCCTGAAATTTACGATGAAACTTTGTTATGGTCAACTTATAATAACTTGATTGCGCACAAACTTTTTCTTATAAAACGAAACTTTTTAATGTGACTTTTTAACAGGAGTGTGTATTGTGTATACCAAACCATGGTGTAAACAGTATATAACTTGTTAAAGGGTAACTATACACGAAACTCTTTGAACATATGCACAAGCAATTGTTCTTTTCTACCACGTTTTCATTTATTTAACCTTTTAATTTTCTAAATGTGCAATTCTTAAAATCTAAAAATATCGAAAAAATACACACACTTGAGAACAAACAAAGTTAAGATTGGTGTATTAAGCAAACAATTATATAAGTTTAAATCAAGACTGTTGCCATTCATGGTTTATTGGTTTACTAACTGGTGATTGGACAATGAACTTTATATAATGTACTTTGTACATAATTTTTCAAAACAACAAATTATACAATTATATATTATATGACCGGATAGTCCAAGCTTCCAAGGGTGCAAAGCACCACAAATAATGGTTGAAAACCAGAAAAGTGATTACTTACTGCAGGATTTAAACATATCAAAAATATTTGATTCTATTAATTTCAAGATTGTATTTACAATAAATAAAGATAAATGTCACTATAACTTTCTGTGCGAAAAGACATTATTTTATCAGATTTCAGAGCTAGTTAGATCGAGAGTGCCAAATAAGAATTAAAATACAGAAAATATTGAAAATGCAGTTTAATCCAGCACTTCGGTTTAATAGAACTTGATATAATTAGTCAATTAAAATCTTAATTTCTGAGGCATTTAGTAGGGTTAGAAGACGACATTATGTTCATTAGTTTGATGTTTGATGCTCTGGGTTAAACTGTATAAAATGTAATAGTGGTAGAAATTGTATTTGGGGTGGTAAATATAGTTAAATAGTTAGAAAATGTAGGAGGGATTGAAAATGAAGAAGGGATGGAAAATGTAGAAGAGATGGAAAATGTAGAAGGGATGGAAAATGTAGAAAAGATGGAAAGTGTAGAAGGGATGGAAAATGTAGAAGGGATGGACAATGTAGAAGGGATAGAAAATGTAGAAAAGATGGAAAATGTAGAAGAGATGGAAAATGTAGAAGGGATGGAAGGTGTAAAAGGGATGGAAAATGTAGAAGGAATGGAAAATGTAGAAGGGATGGAATATGTAGAAGGGATTGAAAAAAGTAGAAGAGATTGAAAATGTAGAAGGGATGGAATATGTAGAAGAGATTGAAAATGTAGAAGGGATGGAAAGTGTAGTAGGGATGGAAAATGTAGAAAGTTTCAAATTGTAGAAAAATGAAAAATGTAGAAGAGATAGAAAATGCAAATGTAGAACCAATAAAAAATTCAGAAATGTAAATAAAAATATTAATTTAACGAAATCATATATGTCTTTGTTGGCCTAATGTAAATGTCTCTTTTATATTGGAAATCAAAATACAGGGTGTCCCAATAAACATGGAATTCAGTGCCGAATTCGATAAATCGTTTTTTCAAATAATTCTTTGATTTAGTAAAGTGATGCCTACTGAGAAAGCTGCAATCTGTGAGAGTTTCGTCTGCCATGTTCACATTTTGTTGGTTTATGTTTTGACTGCATACGGTTGTACTTAGTAAAACAAGAAAATTACAGTATACAAACAGAGTAAACTATCCGTCTTCACTGTTCATCTTGCGGAGACATTATAGACACATCTTTACAGCTTTTTACCCTTTTCATAAAATAAACTCAAGTACACATAATAATATTATGGCTTTTGAAATTAGGTATTACAAAACTAATTCATAACAAAGACTATATCGAATTCGTCACTGAATTCCCATGTTTTTTTGGGACACCCTGTATGAAGTTAAAGTTGAAAATGGTATAGTCATGTGGTCCAGTGTAGACTAAAAAAAACATTAAGACCATGTGCGAAACTACCATTTTGTTTACTTTTTTAATCAAATATGCGAGTTCCCTAAATTTTCAGGATAATAAAAGAATAGAGAAAAAAGAATGTTGTGTAATTGAAAGGAAGACAATTTTCTATAGAAATAGATTTTTAATGAAGTTTAAAACTTTTAATGAGAAGAGGATGAAAAAAGTTTGCTTTACTACTACTAGTGCACTGTGGACAGGGGGCGGAAACGTCGTCAGTAAGTGTGACTGTACCAACAGAGTGAGTGTAAGTAATAATGAACCGAAGGCGTGTACTCTCGGTATATACAGTACATAAGAATCTCGGTATGTGTACAGTCTAGGAGAGAACATTTGTTTATTGTTAATTGTTTACTTAAAAATAAGTTTAATAAACATGTAATATATTATTTATATATTTAAGTCAACACTATAAGCCAAATCCATGCAAAGAATATAATTTGGTTAAAGTTTATAATAAACTACAATCTAATCAAGTTTAATTATAATTAACGACATTGTTCTGAAATTTCCTTGACTGTAGTCATGTTGTGTGTCTGTACCAAAAGAGTGTTCGTGCGTAATAACGAACTCGTCTGCAAAGCACTGGCTTTCTCATGCTAGACCAGCGCCATTTCCCTTCCTTTTATTCTTATTCCCTGACTGTGGAACAGAAACCTTCGTTAGTGCTCCACAGGGCCTGTAGTCGTTCTTTCTAGTGACCCTCCATCTTATGTATGGAATGTTCGATTCACATTCATCAATTGGTACCATTTAACCATATACCTTAGGAACACTATGGAATAACTACAGAATTCAAAAATTAAAATAATCAATTGTTCAGCTGAAAATACGGATATCTCATTCAGTTTTAATCTTACATATTTTGATAATCCTATAATGGAGTGTCATTTGAAACAACGCCTCCCTCCAGCACCGTATTGTTTATCAAAATCTAACATAATAATCATCTAATTTCTGTGTATAACAAACAGCATAAACCTGTTTGGTGATGTAAACAAACACAGAAAACAAACAAAATTATCGGATTTCCCCTGAATTATCTGAACACAGTATTGGAAACCTTTAGAAAGTTTCAACTGCATTTTGTGTCAGAGCAAATATAAACTTTACAATAGAACTTTTCATTAAAGTCAACACAGAGGAATAAAGCGGAAAATGGTTTTTGTTAAAAAACAAAATGGCGCCAGATTTTACTCACTTTAGGAAATCTTTAAAACAGAAACAAAGCTCAAGAAACAATGACTGTCTTTTAAAAATTTTAAAGAAATATTTTGCAAATTGATTTTTGGCCACAAACTCTGATTTTCTAACACTTACATATTTGCAACCCGATGTTGTAGACCTTTGATATTTCCAACTATTACGCTGGTTTATTAAAGGTTTACATCACCAGGCTGCAATTATATATAGGGAAAATTTAAATTTGAGGCGAAAACTTTTTATTTATTTTATTTTTATGGTTATTATAAAACTCTAACTTCAAATTGAAATATTCTTTCTAAAATATGGAGTTAACATATCTGAGATCAACTGAATTGTTTTACATCTCGTTAATATTTTTGTTCAGGATTAAGCTACCAATCTAAAATTTACTTTAACACTTAAAAATTGGCGATAGGTACATGTGTTTATTAAACTTTGCAATATTTTTATGTTTAAAAAAAAAAATTTAAATACGAAAAAAGTTTTCATGCTTCGTTTTTGCCTATGTCAAAATTTGGCAAAATGTAAAGAAAACTCAAGTTAAGAATTAACAATTTTGACAACAATTGCTTTTATCACAGTGTGACAATGCAACAATTCTGAGAGAAAATATAGACAAAAAACTCTCCACGAACAAACCAACGGAATGCACATCACTTCTTACAGTGAGTATAACTCCCACAGGAAATTTTAACGCCGGATAATTACAGGGTTAAAGTTAGAACACGTCGTCACAGATTTAGCCGAGATATAATTTATTCCAGATAAAAATCCAAAAACTTCTCTTATTCGTTTCCCAGAAAACGAGATGCATTGTTATCAGGCATTTATTTCTGAAATTTTGCCTTTCTAAAGGAATTGTTAAGTCTTAGAAAATAGCAATAATATCCAACTCTAAGACAAGTCAGAGTCAGTTTAATTATTATTTCAACCCTTTTAGCAAAGTTTCAAAGAATTTCAAGAAAAAACTTTAAACTTTTCTTTCATATGTAAATTATAGAACTGCTGTTCCAAGTTCTCACTTTCATCGAGAGAAAAAAATGCAAAAAAATTATTTTATTTTAAGCTTGTCAATCATTAAATATTTTAAGTAAAAGGCAAAAAAGCATAAATGTTCTGAGGGTTAATCATAACCATTAACATATATAGGTTTAAAACCCTGAGATAAAAGATTTAAAAAGTTGTGGCTCTGCCCCCTCTGCACACTGTAGAATCACCGTGTTGCTGGAGTCCCTAAATATCATTGAATTTTTTATTAAATGAAAACATTTTTGGGAATCTTTAAACTCCACATTTTATTCTAATTTCAATTTATGAACCTGTAAGAAGGGTCTGAATCCAGATACTCCTCAGCCATCTTCATAGCAACATCCTTCTCTTCTCTAAACAAAATGGCGGCTGATCTTCACATTATAGATGTCGTCTTTGTTCATTTGAGCGTTTGCTTTTACTTTACTAAGGAAAATAGGCTTGATACAGAATATAATATGCTTATATTCAGATAAATAAATTAAGTACGTAGGTGTTGTTTTCATTAATTAAGTATTTTTACCTAAATTATCAGAAATTCTAAATTCTTTTATACATGGGATATCTATTCAAAGATAATCAAATCAAGTACTATTTTGGTCACAAATTTGAAAAATACCAAATAATCAAATGCTGTGATAAGTATCTATATTTAGAAAGGCCTTTGAGGAATGCTTTTTGGAAACCAATTTGTATTATTTGAAGATTTTTCAAATGTGTACCTCTGGTAGTAACCAACACACACGTGTTATCTCGAAAAAATAAATTTGACATTATTTTCCATATTTTAAAATTCCACGGGAAACGCCAAGCACTTCCGCTAATTTGTTATAACTTCCTTCAAAATACACAAACAATAAAACATTTTAAAATCAATTTACTTACTTGGTTGAATTCTTTCCAACCCAGATAATAATCTCTCTTCCTGTATCAAGGATCATGACGTCATCATCAACCAGATCCTAAAATATCATGCTTTCATTCTCAACCAGATCCTGAAATCTCATGATTTTATTCTCAATTAGATCCTGAAACATCATGATTCATCATCAACCTCATCATGAAAGATCATGATTTCATCATCAACTATATCCTGAAATATCATGGTATCATCATTAACTATCCAAACATATCATGATTTATCATTAACTATATCATGAAATATCATGGTATCATCATTAACTATCCAAACATATCATGATTTATCATTAACTAAATCCTGAAATGTCACGGTATAATCCTCAACTATATCCTGAAATATAATGATTTCATCATCAACTATATCCTCAAATATTATGGTATCATTCTCAACTAGATCCTCAAATATCATGATTTATTTAGCAGCTATATCCTAAAAATATCATGATTTCATTCTCAACCAGATCCTGAAATATCATGATTCATTATTAACTTTATCCTGAAATATCATGAACATCAACTATATTCATCATCAACTATATCCTGAAGTATCATGATTCATTATCAACTATATCCAGAAATATCGTGGTTACATCATCAACTATATCTTGAAATATCATGGTATCATCAACAACTATCCTGAAATATCATGATTCATCATAAACTATAGCTTAAAATATCACAGTATAATTCTCAACCATCATCATCAACTATATCCTGAAATATCATGGCTTTGTCATAAACCATATCCTGAAATATCATGATTTCATCATCAACTATATCCTGAAATATCATGATTTCATATTCAAGTATATCCTGAAATATTATGATTATATTATGAACTATATCCTGAAATATTATGATTTCATTATCAACTTTATCCTGAAATATTATGGTAAAAGCATTATGTAATACACATGAAAGAATTTGACCCTTTGAATATACTCTAATTCTCAACATAATTTAGATCAAATGCCGCGGGAAAAAGTTAAATATATTAATTGCTGTCCTTCATATTTCAGGGCTTTTAATTTACCTTAAATTAAAAATAAAAAGCAGTTTCTTAAGAATTTTCAAAAAAAAACTTATTACTCTACAATGATATTTGGATACATTTTCATAAATCGTAAATTCAACCCTTTCATTAGCGAACATCTCAGCAGCTTTCTCTTTGTGTAGACAATGAGGAAGCATTATAGCTCTCATTAATTTTAAAATAAATTTCAAGACGACATTTATGCGTTCCTGCTATGTTTTCATATATGTGAGATTGGCTGTATGAAATCGATTCTAATAAATCTGGAAGTTAAAATTTATAATATCAAAGGTTACATCATGATGTTGCAAAGATATAAAGATTTATAAATTAGAGTTTGAGGCAAGTGTTCAGTTCCATTGTTTAAAAATTAATACCTGTTTAGTAAAGTTGAATATTTCCAAAGCTCTGGTTTTTCCTGATCCAAGCTTTGTCACGTGAAAGAGTCGGGGGGGCAAAACAGGTCTGAAATAAAAAATTGGACCTACAGCTAGTTGTCAACTTTTAAATAATCTAAATAAGTTAAATACATTTAACTAAATACATTTGAAAGGAAGACACATTTACAAAAACCCTAAACTTTGATATCATTGGAAATATGGGAGGGGGTGGGGGAGACTCAGCAAATCTTTACACTAACAAGTTTCAAAGATATACTGCTTAGAAAATTTGAGTTTGTGGCAAAAAAACTCTTTTCCTCTGCGGGATATAAATATACGGGGCCTTGAATAATAAGTATCCAAATCAAGATGATTTACCAAGTGTAAACATAATTACTTTGTTTCTGGTTGGTTGTATTCTTGTTTTCCTCCTAGTGCAGTCCAGAACAGTTCATCCTCATTACCCTCGTCTACTACCTGCAGTATCATTGAAAGGAGATGTTCATGAATTTTGCAAGAAGTGTCATAATAACTATTTGCATTCAGACATCTCCAGACTCCAGACACTATTGGACAGATGATGATAATATTCTTATCAAATATGTATTCAGACATATCCAGACTCCACACATTATTGGACAGATGATGATAATATTCTTATCAAATATGTATTCAGAACTGTATTTTTTTCTAAATTTGGTTGAGTTTGATTTTTACCTGGTGTAACCTCTGATACAGGTTCGTCATTTATTCATTTTTTAATAATCGCAATAACTTTAAATTAGAAACGAAAATTTGAAAATAATCCATAAAAAGTCATATCTTTTTTTTTAACTTATTAAATAATAAATGAGTTTAGATTTTTAAAAGTTTTTTTTCTTTTAACAGGATGCTTCTAATTTTGTGCTGGTGGCAAAAAGATTTGATGTTTTCTTTGAAATAGTTTCACCCTTATTTCTTTGACAATTTTAATACTTTATTGTATTATATCTAATGTAAAATAAAACGAAATTTAAGACGAAATTTTAGGTTTAAGAGTTTGTAATAATATTCTTGCACATTATTAGAATTCACGATAAAAACATATAATTTACCAGGAGTTCCTTATGAGGTCTTGATCCACTGAACTTATTAAAGAATTGTTTTGCTATCTCCAGTTCTTGAGAACTACTCTCCTTAAAACAAGTACAGGGTGTCCGATGAAACATGACAAGTGGAAAATTTGTCAAGTTGTACGATACAAAAAAGAATAATAAAAATGATTACTTGGAATTCACATTAAAGTAAAATTTAGTTCAAAGTGAAAAAAAGATTTTTTTAACGAAATAAAATACAAAAAATTTTAATTATCAAATACAGTATATGAAAGGAGAAATTAAAAATTATTCTCCGTCATGTTTCGTGGGACACTCTGTATATTATAAAAATCTGTATAGAGGTCAAAACTTTTGTGTTTTGATTTCCGGGATCAAGAAGTCCTGCGGATTAAATTAATCCCTCCATGGATAATCAGTGATTGTTGTACTCGGATGAAATAGCTATATTTAAGCACTAATCCTTCAAATTTCAAAGTTGATACAATGAATATCGAGATCAAGTGGTTGTAGATTCTGATTAGCGCTAAACTAGTTCATACAAAAGTTCTTGTCTCAATTAAATCTATTTTATTCCTCAACTACGTTTATCCAAATCAATTATTTTGTCCTTCACCTGTGTGCAGTTTTGAAGAAAAGATACGAAAACTTAAACTTTATGTTCTGTTCCTTGTTCTCAATATTACAATACAAAAATTGAAATTTATTTAATTATTTAATTTAGATATAAACATCTGAATATTTGAGATGGTAATAATTTTGTTATAAATTCGGTTTAGATTATCATTATAAATAAACAATGAAGCAAGTAAATGAAGATAAAAATGTCTATAGTTGATGAGATATCATAGACAAAGATAAAAAGATATATTTTACCTTCCCAGTCCAGATCCAGTTCTTTTCTTTAGTTTCCAGAAGGAAAACATCGTCAGAGGAAAGCTGTTCCGCCTTTTCCTCGACCTGCGTAGATTTGGGGAGTTTTTAAACCAATACTTAATCTTTTTTTTCTAGTATTTTAGATGTTGAATAAAATGTTAAGATCAGAAACAAGAATTAAGAAAGAAAAATTATAAATTAAAAAGATTTTTTTAATAATGGAAAAGCCAAGGAGGGAAAATAAGTGTTGTTTACGTCAAACTTTGCATCAAATGTCGTCTTAGGGGATAATTGTTGAAATATTAAATAAGATCCATTGAATAATATAAATCATTTAAGTCTTATTATCATCTCGTAGAAAAAATTGAAAATGTTTAAGAAACGAGAAATATTTAAATTGTATAGCTAAGTTTGTTAATGAAATTGAAGAGAGTTAACTATTTATTTTATTTAACACAGCTGTCAACAGAAACTAGAGCTTTTCTTCTAGTAACAGTGGAATAGTTATCTTCTTGTTAAATTTAAATTAAAAAATACATCTGAAGCATGTGAAATTATGACTAATTTATTTCGTGAAATGTGCTCAGAACATATTTTCTTTAATCTATTAATTGTAACGATTAGATATTACAAAATCAGAAGCAAAATGTCTTTATTAAAAGATAGAACGAAATAGACAATCATTCCAAGGTTTTCTAGTGACCGCTGGGAAACTTATTACCTGTTCTGCTCTAGCATCCCTAGCATCAGAGCTCACAGATCTTATTCTGTAGAGATATACCCCATCCTCATCATACTCATCCCTATATAGTGATAATGTAGAGATATACCTCATCCTCATCATACTCATCCCTATATAGTAATAATGTAGAGATATACCCCATCCTCATCATACTCATCCCTAGATAGTGATAATGTAGAGATATACCCCATCCTCATCATACTCATCCCTAGATAGTGATAATGTAGACATATAACCCATCCTCATCATACTCATCCCTAGATAGTGATAATGTAGAGATATACCCCATCCTCATCATACTCATCACTAGATAGTGATAATGTACACATATAACCCATCCTCATCATACTCATCCCTAAATAGTGATAATGTAGACATATAACCCATCCTCATCATACTCATCCCTAGATAGTGATAATGTAGACATATACCCCATCCTCATCATACTCATCCCTAAATGTATAATGATATTGATGACAATGATGATGAAAATGAGGAGGATATGGAGATAAGAATTGAGATAATGATGAAGACAATAATGAGGACATAATGAGGACAATGATGATGACAATGATGGGGACAATGATAATTATGATGATAACGATGATGATAATAATGACGATAATGATGATGATAATGATGATGATAATAATGATGATGATGATGATGATGTTAATGATGATGATAATGATGATGATAATGATGATGATAATGATGATGATAATGATGATGAAAATGATGATAATATTGATGATGATAATGATGATGATAATGATGATGAAAATGATGATAATATTGATGATGATAATAATGATGATAATAATGATTATATTGATGATGATAATGATGATGATAATGATGATGATAATGATGATGATAATGANATGATAATGATGATAATGATGATAATGATGATAATGATGATAATGATGATAATGATGATAATGATGATAATGATGATAATGATGATAATGATGATAATGATGATAATGATGATAATGATGATAATGATGATAATGATGATAATGATGATAATGATGATAATGATGATAATGATGATAATGATGACAATGATGACAATGATGAGAATGATGAGAATGATGAGAATGATGATAATGATGATAATGATGATAATGATGATAATGATAAAAATGATGATAATGATAAAAAATATAATTATAGATAATAATTGTATTAATTGGTAAATTTTGGTAAACTTTAAGGAATTATATCAGTCTAATCTAGCTGTATTAAATTAAAATGAAATTTTAAAAATTACAAATAATTTTTGTCTGGAAAAATATAATTTTTCATAAAAAAACCTTAACGTAAAATAATAAAGTGTTTACCTATCATGGACGTTCTTAAATCCTGAAGCTTTTCCTCCTGCAAAGTAAATTATAGAATTTTAATATTATTTTAGATAATTTTTAAATTGTGCCTACCTGAAAATATGGCTAAGCAACCTGGAAAAATTCTGAGGAAATGTCTAGGTTCCTGTCCTTGAACCACTCGGATCTAATCAATCAAATCATATGTTTTTAATATAAAGAAACTTAGATGAATAAAAGTATTAGTTTATAGAATACAAAAAGAAAATCTTATTTTAAGGTAAAATATTATTTTTAAATCTTAAAAGTAACCTTTTTTCTCGTTATATAATATTTTAGTTTTATTTATTCTTCTTAACCTGTACAGCTTTCCCGCCAAAATCTTCGTTATCCATCTTGGCGGCAAAGATGGCGCTTGCCGCCCTTTCATCAGTTGTGCTTTTTAACCCCTATAGTTTAACAAAAATATAATTTGTAAAAACACAAGTTTATTATTCATGGAAAACTTTGATTTTTATATCAATATATGCCTCTAATAAATACCATCTATGCAATTGTAATTAAAGGAAGAAAATACTTCTGGAAGCAAAGATTATTTTTATTTTTTTGTTTGACCTGCCAAAAATAGATAATGCTGATGTTAGGAGCAGTGTACTGAATAACATAGCTGTCCCCTCCAAACAGATGCTCTACTTCATCCTCTGCAGATATATATTCAGCTTAGTTTAAAGAAAAGGGTTGCCATTTTTTATGATTTATTCCAGCTGTTTGTTTTCCATATCTATACACAGATTATTTATCATATTATAATATGTCAAGTTTCGAACTTTAGCAAAAAAATTTAAAAGCGTTAAATGCCCGATTCACAACAGCACCATGTAGTTGTACACCCTGTAGTTGTACACCCTGTAGGTGTACTCCTGTAGTTGCACACCCTGTAGTTGTACACCCTGTAGTTGTACACCCTGTAGTTGCACACCCTGTAGTTGTACACCCTGTAGTTGTACACCCTGTAGTTGTATACCCTGTAGTTGCACACCCTGTAGTTGTACACCCTGTAGTTGTATACCCTGTAGTTGCACACCCTTTAGTTGTACACCCTGTAGTTGTACACCCTGTAATTTTACACCCTGTAGTTGTACACCCTGTAGTTGTATACCCTGTAGTTGCACACCCTCCTGTAGTTGTACACCCTGTAGTTGTACACCCTGTAGTTGTACACCCTGTAGTTGTATACCCTGTAGTTGCACACCCTGTAGTTGTACACCCTGTTATCTGAGAAAAAATTAGGATGATATCATAGTTTTTTTATTATAGATACATAATTTTCAATTGCAGTTTCTATAAAAATGTAAATAGTGACTTGGGATTTCTACAGAAGAGATATGAGGAAAGGAATTGGCAGAAATAATCTTTGTTGAATCCCGACGGTAAAGTACAGCCCATGTAATGCATATCACATGGTTATGCTAGAGAGTGTTTTTTTACATAACACATTTAATAAATTAATTTAATTTAATAATTTGAAGGGCTCGACGCATTATGAATTCTAGTTTCTAATTACCAACTGGTTTCAGATCAAGGTTCTCTACTCTCCATATTTTTTTCTCTCCTGTTCCATCATCAGGCAAAAATCTGAATACAACACATCTTTTTTCTTTAAATCCACAAAAAAATCAAGATCCACCAAAATCATTTCTTGTTTAAATCAAGCTGAACATGTATCACAAAATATCATTTTTTGTAAAATCTTAACTGTGCATAAAAAAAACTTTTTATAACCTATTGAATATTTGATCACAGAACATCTTTTTTTACTAAAATCAAGAAAATATCTGAACACAACATATCAATTCTTCCCAAATAAAAAAGAAACTAAACACATCAACTCATCGTTTCAAAGGGGGGATTAGACTATATTTATTGTGCATTAATATAATGCAAAAATAAGTTGCGAAAAGCTGTTCCTTATAATTTTAATAATTGAAGACTGAACTCTTTACCTATAAACTCTAAAGCTAAGTGCGCAATCTCAACAATACCTTGAGTTAAAAACTAACCCTGGAGATGATCCTGTACTCTCAACACTACCTTGAGTTAAAAAACTTACCCGGGAGATAATCCTGTACTCCCAATACCTTGAGTTAAAAACTAACCCTGGAGATGATTCTGTACTCCCAACACTACCTTGAATTAAAACCTAACCCTGAAGATAATACTGTACTCTCAAGACCTTGAGTTAAAAAATAACCCTGGAGATGATTCTGTACTCCCAACACTACCTCGAGTTAAATACTAACCCTGGAGTTGATCCTGCAGCACGTTCTATCCTTTTCATATTCTCAGTATGCAGATCTTCAACCTTCCAGTCTAAAGTTCAAAAACTTATTTTTTCAAACTCAAATTAGAAAATTAGAGTTTGTGGCAAAAACTCAATTCCTGTACAAACTGATATCGCTGATAGTAAAGACATCCTTAAAGTTGACATGTAATTTGATCTAAATCACATGTCTGGCATTTATGATGAAGCAATAATGAGAATCAATGAAGAACTACGACTCAAATAAAATAAAACAAATTGTGGACGCACATTAATAACACAAATTGAGGACGCACATTAATAACACAAATTGAGGACGCACATTAATAACACAAATTGAGGACGCACATTAATAACACAAATTGAGGACGCACATTAATAACACAAATTGAGGACGCACATTAATAACACAAATTGAGGACGCACATTAAGACCACAAATTGAGGACGCACATTAATAACACAAATTGTGGACGCACATTAATAACACAAATTGAGGACGCAAATTAATAACACAAATTGAGGACGCACAGTAATAAAACAAATTGTGGACGCACATTAATGACACAAATTGAAGACACACATTTACTACGCCGTTTTAAGTATGCCAAATTGTAGATTTGGCACTATTGAGGACACATATTGAATTCCTATAACATATATATAAAGATAAATAAAATCAACGCTCCATTAGACTAGTAAAAGAACAACTTAATCGACATTTTTTGCACTACTTCGCGACCTCTTAGCTCCTCAAGTTTGCTTTTACGCACAAGTATGAAAGCAGACAATTTTGCATGGTTACATGGTAGAAATTTAAGAACATGGTTCTTCTTTTCTATAACTGTATAATGAAAGGAGATATGATTAAATATAATGCTGAAGGAATTGAGTATTTGCCAGAAACCCTGATTTTCTAAAACCTATATCTTTGCAACCCAGTGTCGTAGAGCTAAGACTTTCAAATTATGAATTTTGTTGGATCAAAGTTTTAAATTTGAAAGGTTTACACCATTAGGTTAAAAATATAAAGGGTTGTAAAATTTGAGTTTGTTACAAAGACTCAATTCTTTTGCTTTAATTTGACGCGACCTGCAATATTAGAATAAGTTTTAGGACTATCATCGTCAATCTCGTTCCAGGCAGTGAAATACTGCTTAAACATTGCAGTCTCTAGTCCTTCCAGAATACGAACAATCTAAACATTTATCAAGAATAGAATAAAGGAACAGATTCTTGTACTCCTTAAATCCGGCCTTGCAATACGTTAAAATATCAAAGGTTTATCCATCGATGGCTACCACGCCCTCAAGAGGTTAAATGTTATTATTAGTATGATATAATTTTCTAGGGTTAATGATACATTTATTTCTGAAACAAAAACTACTAAGACAAGTTTTTAAGATCAGAGGAATTTACTGAAAATTGTTGCACACCAAAAAAAACAGCCCCTAGGGCACATCCATTATCGTGATAAAGGTTTTAGTAATCAAATCTTCTAAACTGTACTGTGTACGAAAATGTAAATATACTTTACACTGTGAATAACAAACTAAATTTTTAAAGTGAGATTTTAAAAAAGCTTTTACAGTGAAAATTAGTTTAAGAGTTAACAAGGTTTTCTTTAAGTAAATTGATTAGAGTTTTAAAACTAAACTTTCCTTTATTTTAAACAGTCAAGGTTTATAACAAACACTTAACCATAAATTCTTTCGATGTCTCCGAAAATGTAAAATGTACATCTTAACTTTTGAAAATAATTACCCTTGCAGCTGAGCTGATAATATCAGAATTCTTGAGAAAATGTTCCGCAGCACTCATCGCAGCCAACTTCTCCTCTTTACTTGCAGCCTATTATGCAACAATTTTTCCATAACAAAGTACAAAACGATTCATTCATGTTTGTTAATTGTTTTGTTTTTCCGTAAATCATATTATTTTTAAAAATTACAATTCATAGTTTTTTATATATATATTATATATATAATATATGATGCATGACAATAATAGTTTAGATTATCGCTTTTAATACATTTCGACACGATATTTTTAGGATTTCTGCCTAAAAATTGGTAGTAAAGAAAGGTTTGAAATAAGTAAAAAAACGAAAAGTGCTCCAATAGTGTTGGTCAGAATCTGAAATGGTTTAAATTGTTTTTTAGGGTTTCTTTTCTTATAATTTTAAATATATTCTTTTCAAAAATCAAATTATTGAAAACATGTTGAGATTAATACCTTTCCAATCCACAGAAATATGTTAGTTCCACCTCCTACCAAGAGAAAAACGTCCTGGAAAATATATGAATATTATACTTTTATATATATATATTTTTTAGAAATACGGAGATATTAAGGGTTATCTGCAAAGAATCAACTGTTTTGAATTTTATTCAATACGTCTGTCTTCTTACATCTTTAGTTTTTGCAACTGAAAACTTAAGTTCAACTTTCAGATATTTTAGGTCGTGTATACTAAAGTCTCATGCTTTGTGGGTAACCAATGACATTCAAATGATTTTAGTAAACAAATAAACAAAATATATTTGGTACAGTAAAAAATGTAAACATGCTTTTTTTGCCGATTGATTAAATCTATTTTATGTAATTGTAATGGGTATTATTAATAAGTGCGAAAAAGTGTTTGCCGGGATTTTTATTAAAAATCACAGCAAAAACTTTTTGCACGCATGATATATATAGTTTTATTCAATTTTACTCCAATTATTTAAAAGCATGTGAATAAAGTTACTTTATCACCTTGTTGTAGGGTGATTAAGTAACTTCATCACTCTACAATGAGAAAAATTAGGTATGAAATTTGAAATTTTAATGGCAGGTTGAAAAACTTACTTTATAGCCCTGTTGTAGGGCAATAAAGTCACTTAATCACCCTTCAACGTGAAATATTAGGTGTGATAAATTCCATCAAAATTGAATAAAAGTTTTTATACTATACTTAAAAAAACTTCCATTGAACTCAATTATTTTTTCATTAAAGATCAATATCATCACTTAAAGTCTAAAGATTGAATGAATACACTTATTGAAATCTCTTGCAAAACTTTTCTTAAATAGGGACTACAGTAATCACCAGAGGTAAAAACTGTTGAGGAATCAAAGACTTATTTTTTCAATTCAAAACCTGTCTAAGTGAATATCGATATAAAGCTTTTTACCGAGATTAAGCTTGTTGTAGATTATTTCAAACAAAAGTTTCTACTTCCATAAACTGTTCAGCTGGATTGTTTTCTTTGTTTTTTCCCATAAAGTAGAAAATTTCATTTTGGACATTTCAATTTTTCGTCACTAATTTATTTGCAAAATAGAGCATATGCGTTACAAACTTGAGAACCAGAGCAATAAATCAGAAATGAAAATAGGAAAGAAGACGACAATCATTTTCAAATTTCCAAGAAAGAGCAGAACTTACCGTATTATCTAGCATTGTTTGCTTGAAGGGTGGCCCGGACACAAACTCAAAAGTTATCTTTCAAAACATACATCTTCTTCTCTCTAAATATTTCAAAACATACATCTTCTTCTCTCTAAATATTTCAAAACATACATCTTCTTCTCTCTAAATATTTCAAAACATACATCTTCTCTCTAAATATTTCAAAACATACATCTTCTTCTCTCTAAATATTTCAAAACATACATCTTCTTCTCTCTAAATATTTCAAAACATACATCTTCTTCTCTCTAAATATTTCAAAAAAAACATCTTCTTCTCTCTAAATATTTCAAAACATACATCTTCTTCTCTCTAAATATTTCAAAACATACATCTTCTTCTCTCTAAATATTTTAAAACATACATCTTCTTCTCTCTAAATATTTCAAAACATACATCTTCTCTCTAAATATTTCAAAACATACATCTTCTTCTCTCTAAATATTTCAAATTAAGAGTACACGTTTTTTCTTTTTTCTTTTCCTAAAAATCGTTGTCATGTCAAGATTGAATAAGATATCCATGTGTTTCTTTAAAATCTAATAACTTTCAACTGTTGTTCTCTACGAATGCAACTTGCAGATTATCTTTGCAGAAAAATGGAAGACGGTTGTCTGAATTAAACAGTTTTCGATGTAAATTATAAAAACAACAAAATCTGCTACATTATTGATTAGATAAATGCTTAAATGGCAATGTAGTTGAAATAACTATGCTAGTCCCTGTAAGTCAAGTATAAAGTTTACAGGATAAACCATAATCAAATGTAATCTGTAATCATAGTGTTCATGATTAGTTCAAACATCCCAAAGATATAAATTTAGATTTTTTTAAAGATCTTTAAAAATGAAAACGATGAGTTTATTGGTTAAACTAACAAGAATTGCAAAAATAATCGTTCTCTGGAAAAAGCGCAATTTTCAAGAATTATTGCGATAAAAATATTCTTTTAACCTGGTCTAAAATGTTCCACTCTATTTTTTCCGCACAAATTTAATCCTGTCGACGTTTGGTTCAAAATTTATTCTTGTTGAATTTTGAATAAGTTTTCTTGGCCGTTGTTAATCGTTTTGGTTCATTTTTTGAAAACTTTTGATAAAACTGTCAAGAAAAGAGTGGAAAAACGATTAAAAAAAACGATCCAAAAACGATTTATCACACGTATTCGTTTTTAGGTAAATTTTGTTGTTTGCATATATTTTCTGCCAGGGTCAAAATTTGGCATATTGTAAGAGAAAAAAATGTTTAGAATATAAAATTTTGAAATCATTTTCTTTTCCTGCAAAATGTTGACCTTGAAAGACAATATGAGAAAAAAAACGAACCAACTTAATGCTCATGACTAGTTCCGTCGCCCAGCCATAAACTATTGTTGTATTACGAGTAAGTATATAAATACATAAATTCAATATATATATATATATAATACATATATATATTTAATGTAACAATTATGGCAAAAATTATAATTTGATTTAATCATATTTGTAAATTTATGCACGTTGCATGCCTTTACTGCTAATCCTAATCCTAATCCTAATCCTCCAATCACCTTAGAACTGTTAAGTCAGAAGCTTCATCAGTATCCTCCTCTGCCTCCTGCAGATCATCTACACTTCCAGATCCAAGCTCAGAGAAGAATTTATCCATATTTTCAGAAAACTCATCTATAAAATGCTATTTCTAATTTTTTTTTATGTGTGCGAAAAAAAGTCGAGAACATTTTAGCATTTATAGAGAACAATCATTGAAAACAAACTACCTATAACTCATTGATCTGAGGTCAAAACTGTGAACTAGCGTTAATCTACAGAGCCTGATCTCGATATCCACAGGGTAATTCATTGATCCCGGGATTGGCGACTAATATTACCACAGTACGACCACAATCAAGAGATGCATGGTGTCGACCACTGTAGTGTTTAAAGGAATGACCTCTGATAAGTTTAGAAGTATGTTGTCGTCGTATATTCTAATACAATGAAGACGACTTTCTATTTTGATTTTGATTTCTTCCAATCTTACAAACAGCAGAGACAAATAAACATGACAACAAAGAAAAGATGTCAATTAACAGATTCTCTTTGTTTACATGTCAATTATAATTTTAAAAATGCTTGTAAGAGATCAAAGCATTATTAATCAAAAGTCGTCTTCATTGTATTGATATAATCGCCGGCAACTGTGGGAAAATGTTTTATGCTCACCAACTACCTCCACCTCAGCATCACCAGCATGGTCTTCATCACGGAGTTCGTTAGCAATCTTTACATAATTTGTTATGAAGGTATTGCTTCTTAAAACATGATGTTTTTCAAATTGTAAATGCAAGACTGTTTTACATTTACCTTTACATGCAAATTCTAGACAAACATTATGTAGGTTTTTTTTACCCAACTGTTAGTTTCAGTATTTATACAATTATCATATGTATTTAATTGAACTAAAAAGTTTCTAATCTAAACATGAGCTCAAAATTTTTAAAACTAACTAAATTTGAAGTAAAATTCAAAAATGTCGATTTGAAAAATTCGTATTATTTCTACCTGAATAGCTTTGAACTTCTCCATCTTCCTGGCTCCTGAAGAAATATATTATATAGAATGTTTTCCCTCTAAAAGGGCTTATACCGACATAATTTCAAGAGAGCCTTTGCTTATTCAGTGTTAGATGCCTTTAATACACCGGGGATATCATTGTTTTTCTCTCTGAAATTATAATTTTCGATAATGGTTTCTGTGAATGTTAAAATTACTTTTCAATTAAATATGATTTCTTTCTCCTTGTTACTTAGTAAAACTTCTAAAGGTACCGTTGTGAATGATGATTACTTAAAATCACCTCCTCTACATTCCCGTTCAAATTTTAATTCAGGAGCATATGTGTTTAAAGAAAGCTAAAAAAGCGTAAATATATTTTACGTGCAATTTTACGATTTTTCGGAGTTTTATATAAATATGCCAAATTATAAAACTAAAGTTACATAAATAAATCGCCCCCCCCCCCCATACTTCTTTATATATCTCATACAAAGCTTTACCTGGTGGCATAAAAACTAGAATAGAATGTCCTTTTCCACAATCCAGCATAAAACAATCAGATTTGTTCATGCTTGCTACAGACACGTCAACCTACAACAACAAAATCTTTTACAGGGTCTCCCATAAGACAATAAACAATTAAATTAAATTAAATGTCGTTGATATTGATTTAAAAAAAATCACGCCATTACGTTTAAAGTTGATAAATTGCATTTTTAGTTCGTGGTGCAAAACCGCAAACGAACTTTTAAAAAACAATGCGACCATCTCCGCTTGGTGTTTATGTCACATGTTTACCTGTTCCACTTTAACGGCACGCTTTCCTTTCACTTTAAACAATCTCTTTTCAACCTTAGCGATATAAAATTAAATTAATAATATAAAAATATAATAACATGCTAAACCCGGGACCCCCTGCCGTGACAGAAACCCGACACCCATCCGTTTTGAGGAGAGACGGATTCAGGGTCTTTTCGGTCTAAAAACGACTCTCTTATTAGTACTAAAACAGAGTCGGGCCGGCGCCCGTTTTTGTGGTCGTGCGGGTCGTTTTCAGACTCTAAAACAGCGTCGCTTGTTCTATGCGGGAACTATTTCTAAATTAAAAACCGTATATTGCTTTTTTGAAAGAGTAATATTTTTCTCTTTCTCAATCAGATTGTCGTTTGAAAAAAACAAACATGGCCAATCAGGAATCGGAAAATTTTGTGCACAATCAAAAAGAGAACTTTTATTGGTCGGAACCTAGAAGGGATATCCAAAACAGATAATTAAGCCAAAAATAAAAAGTGTCCACAGTGGATATCGAGATTAATCGAACGGGATTTTAGGTATCCTGCGCAAAAGTTTCGAGCTCTGGTGTGATTTATAAACCTGATCAGGATCAACATGCTTGAATCCACTCTTTACTCCTCCAGGTAGATACCGTAGTCCCTACAATTCATTCTTTTTTCAGCCTTTCAGTAAAAATTTTAATTCGTAAAAATGCATTTTTTTAATTCCTAATTTTTTTGTCTATATTTTGTAAAAAAATCTAAAATTTCAACTTCATGTCTGGCATGACTCATTAAATCAAATAAACTGAAAAATGTGTTAAACCTCTTCAATATCAAAAATTTTATTGTCAGAAGAATGAATTTCCTTAGGAAAATGTGAGACAAACTTAGCTGACTCGCTTCCTTGAACCTCTCTAATAAATAAAATCAAAATATAAAATATATATGAAGATAAGCTTTTTTCCATCTCCTCCCCTTACTAAACTTTACTTCTGCCGCCCCTAGTCTGTACACTACCTGTACTGTACAGGTACCACCCCTAGTCTGTACACTACCTGTTCTGTACAGGTACCACCCCTAGTCTGTACACTACCTGTACTGTACAGGTGCCACCCCTAGTCTGTACACTAACTCTACTGTATTGATAAACCCTCTAGTCTGTACACAACATGTACTTTACTGTACAGATAATCCACTCAGACTGTACACTACTTATACTTTACAAGTACTCCCCTTTTGTCTGTACACTAATTGTACAATCAAGGTGCTATCCCTACTACCTGAACTGTGCAGGTACTCCACCTACTACCTGTATAGTACAGGTACTCGGCCTACTACCTGTACTGTACAGGTACTCAACCTACTACCTGTACTGCTTACAGGTACTCTAACTATTACCTGTACTGTACGGGTTCTCCCACCTTCTACTTGTACTGTACGGATACTCTACCTACTAGCTATACTGTACGGGTTCTCTCCCTACAACCAGTACTGTACGGGTACTCCCCCTACTACCTGTACTGTACGGGTACTCTCCCGACAACCTGTACTGTACGGGTACTCTCCCTATTACCTGTACTGTACGGGTACTCCCCCTACTACCTGTACTGTACGGGTACTCCACCAAGTTGATCATCTAGTTCTACAGCTAGCATTGCTGCTGCTCCAGATTCATCCTAAATTAATTCTTCAAAATTTTAAATTAAAAGGAAAAACTTATCAACATATTCAAACATATCTCCATACAAAATAAATGTTAAAATACTTACAAGCCAGGCCAATGTGTGTTTTTAACAAAATTTTAACTTCTTTATATTGTTATTTTGAAAGCTCTATTGCATGTTTGTTTGTAACACAAGTCTAGAATTTAAACAATGAGTCAACTATTTACATAAAGAAAACTGATTTACCCACAGAAATAAAGCAAAACTAAACTGAAATATGTAAAATAATTCACAAAATTTGGAAATGGAGGTTTTTAAAAAGCGTACTTTTTTCAGATTCAGAATTGACGATGTTGAAAATATTCACGAGCACTTGTTAAAAATATGTTTGGGAAAAACTCTTCAAATGTTTTTTGATCAATTAGTTTTAAATCCAGCAAACCTTCATTGTGTTAGATAAAAAAAAACCTGAGAAGTTTCAGCTCCGAGCCAGAAATGTAAAGTCCAGGACAACTTTCCACCAAAATTCTTAAAAAAAAAAAATGACATCACAAAAATAATAAAATCGGTAAAGATCCTTCTCCCAATGAGTCATCAGAAGGCATTCTGCCTGAGTGCCTTATTTGTCCAATACCAAGCTAGATATCTAGACTCACTTCCGGTTCAAATTAATACCATTAGTTTATATTTAGCAATTAAAATAAGAAAATAGTAGGGATCCCTTCACTTTAGAAGGTTTTAATGAGAAATTTTTTAAAATAATTTTCAGGAAAATTTGGCCATACTTTGTAAAAAAAAACTGTTTGAACAATTATGAAAAATATGTTTATGTGCGAATTATCCAAAAACTAGCCTGCAGTGGTAAGTTTTTGCTGAATGTTGCGCAAAATTTTTATTATCCTTTTTGATATTTATTCAACAGTGTCACTGGAAAATAATTTGTTGTCATAACGATACGATGTTTAGATCAAGTTTTGCGTAATTGCGAATAAAAAACCCTACTTTACATTGTAACATTACCGTGCAAAATTACTTTTATTTAGATTTCTATTATTACCTTTCATATTGGCAGGATTATTATTTATTATTGTTATTATTGTTGTTATGTATTATTGTTATTATTGTTATTATTGTTATTATTGTTATTATTGTTATTATTGTTATTATTGTTATTATGTATTATTTTGTTATTATTGTTATTATTGTTATTATTGCTATTATTGTTATTATTGTTATTATTGTTATTATTGGTACCTGAGTTCTAAGAATGATATAAGAGTCTCCAATGTAGAATTTCCCCAACTCTCCAGTAGTATATTCTACAGGGGAGAAATCCTGCATGAAAAAAAATAATTAATTTAAACTATTTTACACTGGTCGAGGGAGCCCGTGGTTAAGAAAAAATTGTAATTTTCAGAGTGGAGCGAAGTGTTATTTTACTAAATTGTCTCCAGGAAGAGTTAGGTTACTTACCATTTGGTTGTTTTGGGGGAATTATAGTTGGTAATATTGGTCAAAATGCCGTAAAAATATTTTGTTGTATTTAACAATTATTTTTTTTATAATTTTACCTCTATCCTCCAAATCTCAAGTCCTTCCTTCTTTCCAGCATTCTCAAACACCATTTTAAGAAATGAAAATATCTGAAACATTTCTTATGTAAAATTACGAATTTTGTGTTTCCCACTTTAGCTTTGCAGTCTTTTCAGCATTATTGAAGTATAATATTTCCATAATATATTTATATTATTTATTTCTGTTTTAGGGATTTTAATATCATTTAAAGGGAGTGACCGGCTATGTAAGGTAGTTGAACTAAGTATACAGTGTTGTGGAAAACTTCTTAAGAATTCATTAGAGACATATTTCACTTTTTAAAAGTCTGTAAATCCTGAGTTTGAGCGCAAATTCAACGTTCAAAACTCCTGATTTGGGGGTGGATACGCTTTCAGAATTAGTTTTTTTAAATTATTAGTTAACGACGACATAAAATGTAAAAATATTCTACAATAAAATACAGACGTCATGTTTAGGAACATTTTGAGAAAATAAAAATCAATCTTATCATCAAAAATAAGTAATCTTGTTCAATTATTAGTTTCTATTATCTCATTATTCTAGTTTCTCGTTATTCACAAAGATGTTCGCAGATTTTCTATAACTATTATTGAAAAGACGACATTTAAAGAATTTGAAGAAATGTGCGAATTAATTCAAAGAAAATTAGAAATTCAATATAATAATGAAAACGAAATAATCGATTTTAGCATTGATTTATTGACAAATTTCTTTTGTGAAATATGTTCCTAGCCACCTAATTAGATTACTGTATAATTTTTACTTTATTTTTCGTTGATGTCGTTATTTAATAATTAAAAAAAAAAACTAATTCTGAAAGCGTATCCACCCCAAAATCAGGAGTTTTGAACGTCGAATTTGCGCTCAAACTCAGGATTTACAGATCTTTAAAAAGTGAAATATGTCTCAAATGAATCCTAAAGAAGTTTTCGACAACACTGCACACTCAGTTCAATACCTTACATAGCCGGTCACTCCCTTTAACAAAGAATAATACCCCACAACGATCTCAGTCACTTCAATTTAAGACATAATTTGTTTGTCTCGCTTGAACTCCTAAATTGTTTCTGAACCAGAAATCCGCAAGTTACTTCAAAGATAAACCCATTAAGGGAATCTGATATATTCTTGTTAACTTGTGGTACACTTTGCCACACGTTAAACAATGAAATTACGTCTCCATCAATCTCTTAACAAATGTCCGAGCATTTTATTTAACAATTCATTAAATATGATTGTAAATGCCGTGATGCAGTGTAGAATTTTACAATATACAAACAACTAAAGCTTCGAATATCAACTAAGTGAATAAATCAGTCCAACATGCTTCCCTACAAACATGACTCATGGATGATGAGGCCGGGACGGGAGGGGGGGTCGCACTTGATAAGGAGGCTGGGGAGGTCTAGACGACGAGGCTTGGGGTAAGTTTAAAAAAGGGTGATGTAACCAGTGAACACAACACAGATATTTATACTATTTCTCCTAGGTCGTAAGTAAAAGACATTGTTATGATTCTATCATAAAATAAAAATAAGACATATCAATAAATAAATTTTAGTTAATAAGTTTATGTGATTCAAATTGTTTTTTTTTAGATAAATAGGTCGTCAGATGTTAAAATGTCGTCTGACTTGTGACAAATATGTCGCTGAAATCTATAGTTGAATAAAAGGGTTGAATCAGATCAACTGTTTCAATAATATTAAATATATCCAGTACGATGCACTATCAAACATTATTAAGCACTTGAGCAGAATTTGATTTGATAACATGGAATGATAATTAAGGAATGTGCATGCATTGTATTAGTTTTTACATTTTCTTAAAGTTTTGTTTTCATAAGGAACAGATGTGAACTTCTTTAAAGGGAGTGACCAGCTATGTAAAGTAGTTGAACTGAGTATGCAGCGTTGTGGAAAACTTCTTTCGGATTCATTTGAGACATATTAAACTTTTTAAAGATCTGTAAATCTTGAGTTTGAGCGCAAATTCGACGTTTAAAACTCCTACTTTGGGGGTAGATACGTTTTCAGAATTAGTTTTTTTTTTTAATTATTAAATAAAGACAACGAAAAATAAAGTAAAAAATATACAGTACTCTAATTAGATGGCTAGGAACATATTTCACAAAAGAAATTTGTCAATAAATCAATGCTAAAACCGATTATTTCGTTTTCATTATTATATTGAATTTCTAATTTTCTTTGAATTTATTCGCAGATTTCTTCAAATTCTTTAAATGTCGTCTTTTCAATAATAATTATAGAAAATCTGCGAACATCTTTGTGAATAATACGTGTAATATGTCTCAAATGAATCCTAAAGAAGTTTTCGACAACGATGCGTACTCAGTTCAAATACCTTACATAGCCGGTCACTCCCTTTAATAAACTGCAGAATATCATCGAAATAGTAAACAAGAATATCAATATTTTCTTTTTTTTGCGAAGCCTTTTTTTCAGAAATTTATTTGTCCAAATCCAGATTATTTCTTTAAAAACGGTGTTTTTAAGTTAATTGATTATCATTTGTTGTTAGACTAATGTATTTCATATAATTATAATGTATCTTATCAATAAATATAAACAAGTAACCTCTTTTTAGGTGTTTGAATTGCTGGTCCGAACATAACTCATTAACCGTGGACGGATTTAATTTAGGAAACCACGGGAACATTTTTGAATAAGCGAGGTTTGCTTTTATTTAGAGTTTATTTTCCAGGCAAAGCCGGGTTTCCATACTAGAAATATATCTTTATGTATTCTTGATTTTTTTTAAACTTTAAATACCTGAACAATGACTAACTTGAACAAAAATTATGTATAATAGAAAGTATGATACAAGGTTCAGTCAAAACTGTGCTATGACTAATTTTCAGAAAGCAGTACACATGTTTGTAAACAGAATACACAAACTGGAATATTTGTATTTAGGAAATTCAAGAAAACAGGGACAATTTAGTTCAGAATATTCAAAATTATTGATCATTTTACAAGCACTATAGTTTGATTTTGAAAATTTGTATAGATACAATTGTAGAATTTAAAAAGTTACAAAGCAGATATTTAAAGAATTTTCTGAATTTGGGAAATTAGTTTCAGCATTTATTAGAGTATTCACTCATCCATGAAGTGCATTCAGCCATATCTAAACTATTCGCCCATCCCTGAAGCGCATTCACCCATATCTAAACAAATCGCCCATCCCTGAAGCGCATTTAACCATATCTAAACTATTCGCCCATCCCTAAAGCGAATTCACCCATATCTAAACTATTGGCCCATTCATGAAGCGCATTCACCCATATATAAACTATTCGCCCATCCCTGAAGCGCATTTAACCATATCTAAACTATTCGCCCATCCCTAAAGCGCATTCACCCATATCTAAACTATTCGCCTATCCCTGAAGCGCATTTAACCATATCTAAACTATTCGCCCATCTCTGAAGCGCATTCACCCATTTCTAAACTATTCGCCCACCCCTGAAGCGCATTTACCCATATCTAAACTATTCGCCCATCCCTAAAGCGCATTCACCCATATCTAAACTATTCGCCTATCCCTGAAACGCATTTAACCATATCTAAACTATTCGCCCATCTCTGAAGCGCATTTACCCATATCTAAACTATTCGCCCATCCCTAAAGCGCATTCACCCATATCTAAACTATTCGCCTATCCCTGAAGCGCATTTACCCATATCTAAACTATTGGCCCATCCATGAAGCGCATTTACCCATATCTAAACTATTCGCCCATCCATGAAGCGCATTTACCCATATCTAAACTATTCGCCCATCCATGAAGCGCATTTACCCATATCTAAACTATTGGCCCATTCATGAAGCGCATATACCCATATCTAAACTATTCGCCCATCCATGAAGCGTATTTACCCATATCTAAACTATTCGCCCATCCATGAAGCGTATTTACCCATATCTAAACTATTCGCCCATCCATGAAGCGTATTTACCCATATCTAAACTATTCGCCCATCCATGAAGCGCATTTACCCATATCTAAACTATTCGCCCATCCATATTTACCCATATCTAAACTATTCGCCCATCCATGAAGCGCATTTACCCGGCCATATCTAAACTATTCGCCCATCCTTACTTGCTAAGTTGTGGATATATGCATTATGTAATCAATAAATGTAATTATGGGGTTGATAAACCACAATCAAGATTGCACCAGAATTTTCTTGAAATTAGAAAGAAAATATTACGCGAACAGAACTAAAGCTTAAGATCAACGCCCGTATGGACCACTCATAACCCACATTTGTTTTACATAAAGTGTACCTTTTTACATTTGCTTGAGCTTTAATTATATTCGTCTAGTGCAATGTGAAACTAAAATAATGTAAAATTTATTTTGTAAATTTACCTAAGAATGTGAGCAAACTTTTTCTCCCAATTCTTGCACTTTTTGCAATTATAACAAGACATATGGACACGTTATTTACAAAATTAACTATGCGAACGAAAATCCCAAATAAATAAACGTTTAATTTTCTTTTTTAAACAAATAACGTTGTATGAAGGTTTACAAAGCGGTTTAAGACTAAAGCAGAAATATAATGTTACGCTTGAACAAATATTGCACTGCCTGTGGTGCAACCTGTACATTACATTTGGAAACCAGAGTTTAGAAATTCAGGGACCAGCTTTAAGAAATAACGAGAAGTAGTTAAACAACGTTGACTTAGCTGAACCAGTTCTCTAGTGGGACCGTTCAAGTTGAAGATACGTAGTTCAACTACTTCTCTTGTGGGACCATTCAAGTTGAAGAGACGTAGTTCTACTACTTCTCTTGTGGGACCGTTCAAGTTGAAGAGACGTAGTTCTACTACTTCTCTAGTGGGACCGTTCAAGTTAAAGAGACGTAGTTCAACTACTACGTTAGTGGGGCCGTTCAAGTTAAAGAGACGTAGTTCAACTACTTCTCTAGTGGGACCGTTCAAGTTAAAGAGACGTAGTTCAACTACTTCTCTAGTGGGACCATTCAAGTTAAAGAGACGTAGTTCAACTACTACGTTAGTGGGG